TATATATATATATATATATATATATATATATATGTAAAAAGGAGAGAGAAAAAGCCTCCAGCTACTTCACTATTTTGAAAATAGTTGTCTATTCAGGTGGTCAAGTTAGAGCACATCTTGAACATGCAATAGAGAGAACACAGTTCATATTTATACTAATCTAAATATGTGGAATCCAAGCATATTTTAAAATATGTGATTATTAGTGAATGCAGCATTTCACAAGAACATAGCTACATTCTCCTTCCATTATCCCACTGTGGTTGCCCCAAAGTAATGGAGGAGAGTTTAGTCTTCTATCTTCACTTCCAGGTGATCTCAGGTAGGCAAGTGAGATCTGAAAGATGCATATTCAGAAAGCAAAATGCAAAAGACAGACATTGCTTGGTGTTCCTTTTTATTAAGGTGTTAATTTTTTTAATAATATAAGAAAACAAGAGTGTTATATAATTAATATACACTAAAAAGCCCAAGAGAGGGTCCTATACAATAACTTAGATGTATTTAATAAATACAAAATAATAGCAGCCTTCTACAATGCAGGCTACATATAGGTTTACTTCGGCTTGAAGTACCCTGGTCTTTAGCACACCTACAGGAACAGACTTGCTCCACAAGTGTTTTAAAGAGGCATATCTATAAGATACATATAGGAATGTCTAAGATCAGAAGGAAATTTTTTAAACATATTTTACCATGGTCTCCACATGTCTGATGACCCCATACTAGGGTTACTGTGTGAAAGATTTGGCTGCAGGATCTGTCTGGGAGGCAACACATCAGGCTGACTAAAGAGAGTGAGTGCCGGTGCCCGGACTGAATTTTTCAAAGCCTGTTTGTCCTCTGCAGGGTAGAACTGCTCCTGAGATAGACTGCATGTGGGAGTGTTCCCCTTTGCACCCACAGGGGATTTCTGGGCTGCAGGAGATTGCTGCACTGGTGTTGAAGACCTTAAGGCTGCTTTGCAGGTTTCCTCACTGGATCTGGGTAAGGATTTCAGCAGATGGTTTAATAAACGTGCCCCAAGTGTCTTGTCCATCCATTCGCAGGTCAGGAGAAGATTGTGAACCTCATGCATACACTGAATATATCCAGTGCTATACCTCTGCTGAGCTTCAAAACCCATTTTGGAATCCACTGTATTAGAACAGGAGACAACTTGGGTTAGTTAAAAGACTGGGCTAGCCATGCTTTACTTAAGTTTACACACATTCAGCAAGGCCATGATATATTGTTATATACTGATGGTAAAAGATAAAAACAAAAAAATGGTAACTCCTCAAGAGTTACTATGTCTAGCAAATTGAGCTCTGGGCTTGGGGACACTTGGCACTTGACACTTGGGTCCCTATTTTCATTTTGGCCTATGGCCTTCTGGGTGACTTTAGAAGTCACTTTATTTCCATGTACCTCAGTTTCCCTAATCTGTAAAACAAAGCTGATGATACTGAACTCCATTGTAAAAGATATTAAGAGTTGCTAATGAAAATTACTTTATTAGAGCTAGTTTTAAATTAATGTCTACAGTTCAGTTCTGTAGAGCTTTTCCAGAAGGATCAATATGTTCAGGGAAAAAAAAAGAATATTAGTGAAATAACAAAAATTGATACTATAAGGCAAGATGTATAATTTAGTACTGATTACAATTAAATTGCTGTTATAAGTAATAGTATAAACCTTAAAAGAAAAAAGCTTTTGGAGAAACATGACTCACCTGTTTGATTAGGTCTTTATCCCCCTCTAGTGGTGATGGCTAAAAACCACTTGTAGGGTTGAAAGGGATTTTTGCAAAACTGTCAATGTATCAGTGTAGTCACCACCCAAGGTTAATACTAAATTCCACCTCTTAAATATATGGAAATGTTGTGTTGTATACAAGATGCAAAACAAAGTTACTCACTCACCCATGATTTTATTGTTTTGGATATTCTGGAGATGTTTTACTGTCATTTCAAGGATATCAGCTTTTTCCAGTTTAGACTGCTGTCAAAAACAGGAATGCAGTGGGTCAGTGAAGATGATTTATTCTGTAGGATTTTGGATTTCTTAAATAAAAAAATAGCAGAACCAGGTAAAAATTGACACTTACATCCAGATGAAATGCTCCAACAACTGTTTCCTTCAGCTGATCCAAGCAGTTGTTAATCCTTTCCCTTCGCTTTCGTTCAATGAGTGGTTTTCTTAACTGGAAACAAAAAAAAGAACATTTCTGAGGTAGAGTTTCCAGGTGCTATCACTGCATAGCTGCTACTGCTTTGCTGAGCTCCCATTGGTGAACTCAGTGGGAACAGATGGAGACCCCTGATTTTGTTTTTAACCCTTAAGAGCTGTATTCTGCAAGTGGTATTGGAGAATCACAAGGCTACACCACACTGTGTAGGAGAGACAGCACACACTATCATTTTGTTAATCCTCTTCAGTTTTAGCTGACCCTACAAGCGTTAGACTTGATTTTCCTTTCATTTAAGCTGGTGTCAATTGGGTTACTCTGGTGGCAAAAAAGATACTTCAGTGTAAAATCAATGCGAGTGGGAGGAGAATACATCCCTGCGGCAAGAATGCTGCCTAAACTCCTTTATATTGAAAGCAGTTGTTTGTCTCTAATATTTTATCGCATGCAAATTATCATCTCCAGCTACAGGATTGTGCAACTGTACTGAACAATGCAGACACTCATGCACAGTACCCATGCTGCACACACATGCCCATGGACATGTACATCTGTATATAAAAGGACCTACCTTCCTTTCCTCTTTGGTGTTGGAAAGTTTCTGCACATTGCTGGCCATAGCCATGGCCGTCATTATAATCCAGCTTCTCTGCTCCTAAATGTTGAGGAGGGAGGAAGAAAGAAAGATCTTTGGCAGCAAACTGCTCCCTTTCCTGATGGGCTCCTTGCCTCTCTTGCCTCTCCTCAGCACTTTGTATTTATAGCCCAGAATTAGCATGTGAATAAGGGCTTTCCTTGGCTGGACCCCTTTTCCCACACGAGGGGTCGAGACCAGAGGTTTGTGGCTATCAATCAAGGCTGACAGGTCACTGCTTCTTTTCAATGACCAGCTTGCCCCCCCTCAAACAGCGACAGATGTCCAGCCTACAAAGCTTTGCTTTGCAGAAGCCTTTTGTTAAGGAGAGGCAAAATGGGTGCACTCAGAGTGGATCACATGGCCCCTTGCTCAATTTGCACAGATTCCCAGGGAGGGGGAACAATAGGCAGTAACCAGTTGAGTTACACCTGGGAGAATTTCCTTGAAGTTTCTTTTGGTTTTTGCTTGTGTGGTTTTTTTTATATTAATCATACTATCTTACTGAATGGATGCCACTCTTTACCTGCCAAATATGTATCCCTCCCACTTGAAATATAAAAAGAAGCTCTGAGAGACAGAACAACCTTCACATTTGGAAATGGAACTATCTGATCCACTGTGTAGTTCATCCTCTTTACAAATGTTACAGCGAAGTAGTGATTGTTTATTGAAGTCCATTGACAACAGATTCCCCTAGAAACTCTGATTTTTCCATTTGTGAAATACCTTATGAAAAATTCCATGACATTTCATACAAGTGAAATCAGTAAGTCTCAGTAAAAAAAGAAACTTGGCTGTAAAAATTATTCTTAAAAATTTGTAAAATAGAAAATTATATTTTGGGTTTTTAGGTATTCTGTAGAATTCAATGTTACAGCTACAGGGTGTTTAAAATGTTGCTTTTGTATAGAATTGTATTGGTTTATTTCCTATTAAATTCCATAGTACTTTCCCATAATGGCTTATTTTCTCACTATGATACTGATTTTTTTAAAAATGTATTTAAATATTCATGCAAAGGTGGGTGGATGCTTAAAGAGCAGTATGAACAGGGCAAGGGCATATTTTTTTAAAAAAACTTTTTACCATTTACCAGTCTATCTCTTCTTTTAAAGGAAAATCCCTGAGGCATTTTACATGAACAAGCTCTGGCTTTCTGATTGTTGTTTTACTAATGAACATGATTTGCTAGTATCCTGCTGAGTGAAGTAGATGAAGCTTTTTATATAGGTGTCAAATGTATCATTTTATTTAAACAGACAGGAAGAGCTTTAGAAGAACCAAAAGCCACCCCAATCCACTGTAAGGCTTTTTGAAACCCATTACTTACACAACTGCAGAGTGATTCATTCCTGTTTCCATATCCCAAGAGAGCAACATACGCATGAGAACAAAGTACAAGGGGCATCATCCCTCCATCTCAAACAATATGTAAACACGCTGTTCTATACATGTGGGAAAATACACCACACACTGTACAATGTAGTTATATTTAGAGTTATGCTCTTTGTATGTGTATCTGTATAAAATAAGAATCTACAGTTGTACTATAAGTAGAGGTCCTTAGCCAATGAAAACCCAGAGAGTTTGTCTGATTGTTTCTCAAGGAACTGAGTGCTCTACTTAATACAGCATTATAGTGACCTTGTTCAAAGGAAAAGCAAGATATTGTTATGCATTTTCTTTGATATACAAGAAAGAGTGTCTTGACAGCGGGATCATGGTAATGTTTTTTTAATGTATTAATGTGCCTTTAAACCACATTAGAGATGGATTATGCAAGGTAATCCCTATGAATAGAAAATAAAAGGGTGCTATGCTGCTTTGCATAAAATAGGCTATCATGAGTCAGGTCTCCCAAATCAGGGCTTTTTAAAATAAATGTTACCCTTCTAACCTCAGAACTTTTAGGGTTCATATCTTCAAGCCCTTGTTTGCAACTAGGAGAGCTAGAAACTTCTCTTAATAAAAAGAATAAATCTTAGACATTCATCTAACCATGTGACGCCAGGCATGGGATTTAACAGAACTGTAAATGTCATAGCAAGTCTCACAGTAAAATCCTGAGTGAGTAGCCCTGGGTTCTGATAGAAGATGTGGTCACACAGCAAGAGCAAGATCACGGTATATTCAGTTTTTCTAAGGTGGGTAAGCCTTAGCCAGTCACATACCCACTTTTAGTCATAGTCCACTTCTAGGAAATCTTGGCTAAATGTTCAAAGAAGGGAAGGGAAACTGTACCAACCGTGCTGGACAGAAATGCAAGATTTGTTTAGGATGGCAAGGTGGGGAACTCATGTGAATGAGCTCTTATCTCAATTCCTTGTCTTCTGTGGGAGCTCTCAAGGGAGGGAGCTAAGACAAAATTTGCTCTGTAATAATCACCTTATCTGATTCTAGCAGGAGGAATAGAAGGAACTGGGCTCTGAGTGAGGGCCAGGAGCGTGGGAGCAGACTTTCACTTTGCTTTGCTTGCCCTGCCTGCTGCTGGAGCAATTTCCTTTGATCAAGAGGTTCTCTTGTCATCTCACCCTGGGTGAGCTTCTTTAAATGTTTTCTTTTTTAATGTATTTTTTTAAACAAGGTCTGGAAGTGAAGGATGATTGTGCAAGGCCTAGGAATACAAAAAATCAAAAGGTGTTACGCTGCTTTGCATATAATAGGCTTGCTGGGTCCTAAGTGCTGCCATCTCCATTCGTCTGTTGAGGTGTCTCTGGTCAGACCATCCCTCAAAATTCTTCTCCTGGACAACCATAAAATTTGTTCTTTATCAGGACATCAAGGAACCATCAAGCATGTTTTGTGTCTCTTCTAGGGTTGTTTTCTGGGGCCAGAGTCAAATCCATGAAACTTAAGAAATTCCTCTTCTGGAGCTGTATGGACACATGTAACTTGAGTGCATGTCTGCTCATAAATACCAGTACGTATGTTCCCAGTTGCTGACACTGTGTCCTTAATTTCCTCATACTTCTCCCAGCCCCCTGGCTCATCATATTCTTGCCTCTGCTTTAATTTCCTTCCCCTTTTCTTGTCTTAGTGATGACAAGGCAGAAGCCTGGATGGAGCAGAAGCACAGGACTCTTGAAGGACTCCAGTAAAAAATGTCATGACTCTTTTGGATCTGCTGAGGCTCAGCAGGTGTGAGGGAGAGTCCCCATGGGAGGATATGCAGAAACTCTACACTAGTGTCCTGTTCCCTCCCTAGGCTTCTTCATGGGAATCCAGGCTCCTGGGCCTTGCTCAGTGAATGTATGAAGAAAATTCAACAGTGACTTCAACAGTCCTGAGGTTACCTAAGGGAGGGGTCAGCAACAGTGTTAAGAAGATGTAGAACAGGTGTTCCTTACCCCTGTTCCTGTTTGCCCAGTGGCCTTATTTGTGTTTTCAATGCCATAGCCCTGCATCTGCCGGCTTTTATGGCTTCCAGGTACATCCCTAAAACTTGCTTTCCCAACGAGGCCCTTACTCAATGGGACTAGTTATTTTCAAAATGCAAAGCTAAGCAGTTTGTGGCAGGGCGATTTATGTTACAGAATATTGGCAAGACAAAGCAAAACAGACCTGAGAGAGGCTGACCTCTGCCTCTTCCCCTTCCCTGACTCCCTGGCTGCCCTCCTTTCCCTGGTTCTGGTGCTTCTGTGGAACAACAGTAGAGTTGGAGTTGGAAGAAAGCACTGGATACCCTATGTTGCCAACCTCTCACAGGTCAGACTCCAAAATAAAGATGTTTTCTGATTCTGGGGGCATCTAGGGAATATATCCACCTCCTAATTGACTTGGGAGCATTTCAGACCATGGTTTAAAGTTAAAAGCATGCACAGACATGCAGACTTCCTTCTTGGGGGCTCTGGAAGGACTCCCCACACCCTCTTCTGTTCCCCGGGAGAGCTGCTATTCTTGCCATGTCCTTTCTTTACCGCTCTCTGCCCCATTTCTGTATTCCTTCCAACATCTCCTGGTCCCACCCCCTCCCCATACTTTCCCTCTCTTTCCCAGGAGGCTGGAACAGAGGTTTTGCGTTGACTATACTATTGTGGGCCCAGACACCTATTAAAATGTTGTCACTTGTCACATTATGTCAAGTGAGTAATGGCTGTTGAGAAATTTGGCATTTACATGGTAGGAGTAAAATGAACGTATATGGTCCATTATATACTGCTCAGAATATCAAGCCTGGAACTAATAGTTTATGGTTATAAAATATGACAACTTCACAGGCATGCCAAGGAAGTTCTCTGATGCTGGGACATAGGCCTTGCTACATTTAACTATTTGAAACTGCAGCTGCATCAACTCCTGGGTGTGACAATACAAATATTTGCTTATCTAAACATAGCTGTTCACCTAAAGGTTTCTGTCTGTTTACTATCTCCTATAATTATTTTATGGTCTATGTCTCTCACTAGGAAATCTTTGCAATAGTTCTGCCAGCTGATGCGCTAAAGTAAACCAGTGTACAGATCCCCTGCAAGGAGAGATTTTTGTAGAAGAACAGCGATACAGAACTAGGCAACACATACAAGCAGTAGTATAATCCAAAGACAAAACATGTAAGCACATACTGGATCTCAAGTTTGGGTAGGAGACTAAAGTGGGATTTTCTGACATGCCCTGCATTGGCCTAATTTTATTCCATCAATTTTTATGAGAACATGGAAGGTTTCTCAACATATTTCAGATAAAGTAAATAAAGTCCATTGCAAAGGTCACTATAAATGCTGCTTGGTCATTTGGGGCGATAGTTATTCCTCTTCAAACTCTTCTTGGATTTCAGTGTTATTCTATTGAAGTGAATTTGACCCATTATTTGTGGAGCATATTAATATTTTCATCTCTCTTTCTTTTTTTTTACTACATCCCTTGCAAATATGGCTCATGTTTTCAGGTTCTTTTTTTAAGGCGGCATGCAAAATCCCACTGAAAAGAAGGGCAGCATTAGCAGTAAACAGTTATTTTACACCTCTCATTCAGGGCTGAAGCCTTTATTTTAGAACTGAGGGGCGGCAAAAGCTGAGGAGTTACCTCATTCAGGGACAGTGTGACATCTGTGCTTCGGCTTGTGCAAGAAATATGGGAGCACATGCAAATGCTGAAGTAGCATTCAAGGAATTAGTTTGTGATTTGCTTCTCCACTTTTACACTGCACGCTGCCAGATTTTCCTGAAAAGGTAGATTCTCCTTATTAA